AAGAATAAGTCTGTTAATCCTCTCATGAATGAGTGATTTTAAAAATTCAACAAAAAAAAAAAACTTGATCTGTTTATAAAAAAAAAAAATGGATTGCAGAATATTTCATGAAATATTGAAACAAAAACACATAATAAATAAAACTTTCATTTTCAGCATGGACACCGAACAACGGTTAAAATAGGAAGTGCGGGCATCACTAGATTTTTTTATCATTTAATACACACACCTCGTTCCAAAGAGAGAAGTGCATGACTTAAATGTTTATTGCATGTTATTATGTTGTCGTATTAAGAGCTTATTTATTTATTATTATTTTTTCAAGTTTATTTAGTATTTTACAGATTATATGTTATGCTATGTTGCGTGGCTTGCATTAGAAAACAAATTGATGGAAAAAAAATTTGTCACGACTCTTATTAAAATTACATTATGTTGAGATTGTCCTAACATAATCTAATCAATTTGATAAATTTAAAAACAATTTAAATAATTAATAAAAAATATAGTTTAATTTAAAAAATTAAGATAAACTTTCTTTAACATTGAGTTGTTGATAACTTCATAGAAAGAGAATCAAAATATTTTTAAAAAATAAATTAAAAATCAAATAAATATTAAATAAAAAAAAGAAAAAAAGAAAAAATATCATCTCTTCCATTATTAATATAAATGATAAAGAAGGTGAGTTGAAAACTTTTTTAGATATATTAGATAATTTGTAAGTTGATATTTATTGAAAACTATAATTGCTTATGAAGATTTTTTTTTATAAAAATAAAATATGTTAAAACCAGTTTAATTTATGAATTAATTAAGAGTAAATTTTTTTGCCAATCTTAAAGATGATTTCTCGTATTGGTCTAGTGTATTTTAAGAAATTTAATATTTTTTTAAAAATAAGTCATATGTTTTGAATTCATAATGTCAAAGAAAAAAAAAATCTCCTTAATCATCCCACCAAGTTCTTGGTATTGGCTATTCTTAAAAATTAAATTCCTTGATCTCCTTTTTATTGTGTTTAACATTATAATAATATTTATTTTTAATAATATTTTTGAAAATATATTAAAATAATATATATTTTTTATTTTAAAAAAATTATTTTTTTATATCAGCACATTAAAATAATTTAAAAATACTAAAAAAATTAATTTAAAATAAAAAATACAAAACCATTTTCCAGTAAAAAAAAAAAACAAGGGGGTTTAATAACTAAAACAAATGAGTTGTGTGTTTTTTTTATTATTATTATTATGTAAAAGTAATGAGGTGTTGAGTTTGCGTTATTGGTAACCTCATTTTTTCTTTTTCTTTTTCCTTTTTTTTCTTTTTTTCTTTTCTCTCTTTTGCTTCGTTATTTTGCCGGCCCATTTGGTTTTCTTTCTTCTCTGCCTACTTCATTTGGTCCCTTAGTTTTAATGTTTAGTTATCTTTAGTTTCATTGTTATGAAATTATATGAATTTTGCTTAAAAAATAATAGAATAGTCTTCTAGTAAATAAAAAAATAGTTACTTTCTCCCAATTTAAATAAAAATAATCTTTTTTTACAAAAAAAAATGGATGAAATAATAATAATAATAATAATAATAACGGAACAAAAGTTAACTAAACATAAAAATTGAGGGACTAAATGCATTCTGAGTAGGAAAAAAAAAGAAAAAAAATGTTCAGATTATAAATAATAAAAAAAAGAGTTGATGTGAGATGCGCATGTGCTATCGTGCGCATCTGTGTACCTCATCACATTATGCTGGTTTGGGAATTATTCTTTCAACTAGCTTGGAAGGAAGAAAAATCCACTGTGCTGGTGTTGAAAAACCTCAAAACGTGAAAGCAAGATGGAGACAATGGAAAGTGGGGAGAAAATTCTATTCCCACCCAAAATATAAAAGCAAGGGTATCTAAAAGCATTTCAATCTCTTCTCTTTTTCTTTTTTAATATTACTTAGGCTTTGTGTTTGTGCGGCCACCAGCGAGGTTAGTAGTGCAAACAAACACACATTTAGGTATTTTTTCAGTAAGGAAAATTTGAGTTTCATTAATTTTATTTTATTTGTTTATTATAGAATAAGATAGTACTCGTAATTATTAAAAAAAAACTAAAAATCATCAGCCAATCATTATAGCTCTAGACAATTTATCGGAGGTTGTGATGTTAAAATTACTATTTTACCCTTGTTACAAAATCATTGAACTTGTTTTGGGGATTAATGTGGTCTTTCACCTAGTTTCATTTGTTATTACTGGATTAATCAAGGATAAATAATTCTTGTTTTTTTTTTTTTTTACTTTTGATTAGAACGGTAAAATAACTTAATAACCTTTAATAGCAAAATTCATTGTTTATAGCTAATCTTTCTTTAGATAATTATGTATGTTGTGAAAAAACAACACACAATTCTTGTTTCTCGCATACAATTCAAGCTCTTGACCAAAGTTTTTGTTCCTCGTAGTTTCATGAGCCATGTGTAACTAGCTTAGCACACTAATAAATTATTTGTTTTAAATTGTTAATTGTTGGTTAATTAAAATCTATCAACATAATAATTATAATATATTTTTAAGTGTTTTAACTGTGTATAAGTTTTTATTTGAATCTTATATTTTAAAATACTTGAATTATATATGAAATAAAATTTTCTTATAATCTTATAATTTTACACTTTGAATTTATATTGTATTTTTCATGCTGTATCAAAAATAAATTGTTAATAATCTTGCACAGGATATCACTTTTCTAACACCTTCACATTCCACCTAATCTATACTTTATAGATTTTAATATGTTTTTTTTGGGTTAGATCCTTTCTGATGTTAACAATTAAATTCTTAATATTACATAGAATTGATATCACGTATTAGATTACAAGTCAAAAAAATTTATATGTGGTCAAATCCATCTCGATCCAAAATATATATTTTATATTTATATTTAATAGATTATGGATTAAATATTTTTATTTTATTTAAAAAAATTTCAACTTCAAAGTTCTTGTTGATGACTTTTTATTAGATTTATTTAGCATAATAAAAAAAGTATCTTGTCTTTTTATTGGAAAGGATAAGAGAAATAATAAATTTTTAATGGTGGTGCAATATATAAAAATTTAATCGTTGTATTGTGGCACCTAAAGTACATGCTGTAGATTTGCTTCCAAATAAAAATTTCATTAGAATCGTTGTATTGTGGCACCTAAAGTACATTTGCTTCCAAATAAAAATTTCATTACTAATATAAACCCAACTCATTAATACCCGTAATATCCATAAATAAATTAGCCCAACCTCATATATCGAACCCGCTCAGGTCTAAAAAACTAAATAGGTCATGTTTCTCATTTGTAAAATATCAAAAGTTAGGTTGAGTAGAATTATAGACTTAAACTTGATTCAACTATATTCACAAACACCTGTAGTTTTAGCTAAATAAATTATAAGATAAACTAAAATGTCGAGAATAATCATTGTAACACTTTTTTTTCATCTTTTTTTTAATTGTGTCCTTTTATGCCTAAAATGAGGTATAATTTGTTAAAATTTGTTAGGTTTGGGTCAAATTAAAAACTAATGATCAAAGTATTAAATACAAAGAAATTTCATTACCAATCTGTTTTTTTATTCAAAATTCATTTTTATACTCTTGCTTTCTCTTTTAACCTCTATTGTCTGTATAATTTTTAAAAATTCAATTTTGTTCTAAAAATTTATTTTTTAGATTTTAAGCTTGATAGAAAAATGAGAAAATCATCATGTTTTGATAATGAGAGAGAAAAACATAAGTTGTCATCTATTCTAGGCACTAAAAAAATTGATTTTTGTGTCAACAAATTTTATCTAACAAGAAGAGTTTGATGATAGTTGTTTTGAATCTCAATATTTTTTGAAAAAACAAAATGGAGTCGAGAAAGAAAATTTTACATGAATTGATTTTGAGTTGTTGGGCCTTCGTGGTTTTTTAATTTGATAAATTAGTTTTTTTTTTTTGTGTTGTGAGAGTATTATTTGGGTGTTTTTAAGGAAAAAATAAATTAAAAAAAAAAAAGAATTGACCCAACAAAACAAACTCAAGAATTTTCAGCGATCACTAATTGTCAGAATTTAGATAATAATAAATGAAATATTAACTATTTTATTTTTAAAAAAATTAAAAGCAGATAATAAATCAACCACATTAAAAAAAAATCTAGATATATGGACATAGGTTAAAGGCTCACATACATAGGTTTTTTTTTAAAATTCTAAGCATGCTGAGCCACCTAACCTCGTACTCCTAGCTTTTTTTTTCATTATTTTTTTTTAATTGCACCATTTAATTTATTTTTAGAAAAAATGCTTTATTTTTTTATCATATATTTAGCTAAAAATATATCTTTTTTTTATTAAATTTAATAAAATTCATGATCAAGATAAATATTGAATGCATTAAGTCACAAAACTAGAGTCAATCCTATATATATATATATATATATATATATATATTATTTAATTTTTTTCTTGATTTTCATAAATTAATTCATTCCAATTTGGTTTTTAAAGAGTTTTCCTTCATGGTTAAGTTTCCATTGAATTAATTGGTTCGATTTTACTTTTAAAAGGTTTTCAAATCACTAATTTAACATGTTAATCAAGGATTTTTTTTAATTCATGTTTTCAGTGCGGGGTAGTAACCCGGCCGCTACAAAACTGTGAAAATTTTTGATATTTTTTTGATATTTTAAATTGCTATTACAGTCTCAAACCGCCTTTCAACTCTTCAATTTGTTGCTCCATTTTAAAACAGATCATCAAACATCACGGCTGATGTGCTAACAATGGAAGATCATCACAATTTAAGCGTGCGTAACAAGACACCACTAAAATATTCGGTCCATACATATGCCTTATTTACATGGTACTTGGATCTGACTCCTCTCGTCCATCCATGGAGCTCAATGGGCGTTTGTCATCGTCATCGAACACTCAATTTGACTCATTCAACGAGAGCAGAGCGGATGATGATTATGGGTATCCTTGATCGGAACCGGTACACATAAAACCCGTTCCGACGGGATCCATTGCCACTCCTGCTAACAAGCAATTAACAAGAAATCCGTTAGCAAATGGATGCAATGGTTTGAAGACAATTATAGAAAACTAAGGGACTGGTTTGGAAGGTAAGGAAAGTAAAGGGGTGCTAAAGTCTAAAGCAGAAAGTCAGGTACCCAAAATACAAAGACAAAATAAGAATTAGGGGCTTAGGGTTTTGTATCCTCTCCCTCTCTCCCTCTCCCTCTCCCTGTTTGTATTGGCAAAGCGAAACTGAATACCGTAAAACAATGCCGCGAACTACGACATTAGAGTGTCCTGGTTGCCCTCCACTTCGAGCTCTAACTTTTGACTCACTTGGTCTCATCAAAGGTAATACACAATCAATTTCTCTTTAAATAATTCATTGAAGTAAATAACTGGTTTCGATTCTTATTGTTTTGATATTTGATATCTGATTATAGTGATTGAGTCTCGTGGTGAAAGAGGAATACCTCAGGTTGTTGAAAGATGGGGTGATCCTGATTCCTCCAAATGCGTGCTTGCTGCTTCCATTGATGACCGTAAAAAAGACCCTGTATGTGTTGCTCTTTTTCTTCATATTTTGAGCTGAAACTTGTAAATATATGCCATTTCCTATGTTTTGATTCCTGGTTTTTTCTTTTTAGTTTAGTTAATGTGTCACAACCATGCTAGCAATACATGGCGGTGGACGTACTGATGCTTTATGCACTTATTAAATGTAGTGGTTATTGTCTTACCAGGGTGTAATTATTTTCCTTGCAGTTATTGGCTGTTGCAAGGAAAAATGGAGAGGTGAGTTAAATTTATTAGTTCTGAATGTAGAAGAAGGAATGCAGTTTTGTTTTGGTTCTTAATAGTAGTTCTAGTGTCACTTGAGCTTTGCTTAGTTATTGTTGTGGATAATGTACAGGTTGAAGTACTCAACCCTCTTAACGGGGATATTCGTGTTGTGTTTTCTAATGTTGTCGAGGATGGTGTTCAACCTGAAGATGATGCTATTGCTGGTTTGCATCTATTCAAGAGAAAGAGATCAACTGGGTACTCTCCACTGTTTCTTTTTCAGAGTAACTATTTGAAGTTTATGGGCACTGGTATGTACAACTACTAGCAGTCACTGATATTGGTTGTGTTGATTCTGTGTAGATCATGTGCTTTGCTTACATGTACAACCAAGGGAAATGCAAGCATGAGGTCCATTGGAGTTGATAAATCGATGGCTGATGTGGCCAATATCAGTGTAACAAAGACGTGGAAAGTTTGTGGTTCTGGCAATGTCTTATGTTCTAAAGTGGATGGAAGTGAAAATTATGCTGTGTTTGGAGGGTGAGTATCTCCATCTGTGACTGCACAAAATAAGATTCAGACTTGAAGTTTATGTTCATTAGTGGCATGATGGCTTTTTTGTTTTCTGATTCAGGAAAGGTGTTGAAGTTAATCTATGGGACCTTGAGAGTTCTACTAAGATTTGGACTGCAAAACCCGTGAGCCATTTTTCTAGTTAAATAATCTAATCAAGAGAGAAAAAACTTATTCATTTTCAAGCATTTTTGTAACTGCCCTCATGTCAATTTCAAAATTATTGCTTTGTGCAGCCTCCTAAAAATAGCCTTGGAATATTCACCCCAACTTGGTTTACATGCACAACATTCCTGAGCAATGATGATCACCGTAAATTTGCAGCTGGCACCAATATTCATCAGGTAATCTTTCCATAGCAAATACTCCCTTGGAAAAATATTAGAGTAAGGGTGCCATCCACAAAGTCACAATGCAAGCTAAGTAGATTCTCCCTAACAATGTGTCTACTGAAACATTCCTACCCATTCTCTCCTGTTTTTGCAACTTTGCATGGTTATGGGGAGCCAGTGACAGTTTTTTTGCAACTTTGCATGGTTATGGGGAGCCAGTGGCAGTTTTTTTTGTTTTGGGTTATATATACACACATATATATATATATATAACTGCAAAAAATGGTGATATAGTTAGCAATGTAGGGATTTAGAGATAACGTTTTGTGAATTTGACAGTTTATATTTTTGCTAGAATCATATCATGTTTGGAATTGTTATTGTGAATAATTAGAGTCATTCACTAACAGCTGAAGAGTTTTCCAGACAACCTCAATCTTATATAACTTGATATTTGTGGTTTACTTAACAGGTCCGTTTATATGATATCTCTGCTCAGCGCAGACCTGTCCTGTCATTTGATTTCAGAGAGACTGCTATTAAGGCAGTCACTGAAGATCAAGATGGCCATACGATTTATATAGGAAATGGGTCTGGTGACCTTGCTTCCTTCGACATGCGAACAGGTACATGCATCTATTTTTACTAAAACAAGCAATCGTATTTTCCAAACTTTAATGCATATCTATTTTGTTCTGCATTCTGCACTTTTGATTGTAATCGTATTTTCCAAACTTTAATGCATATCTATTTTGTTTGGAAACATCAAAAAATCACCTTGAGTAGATACTGCCTCATTTGTGATTATCCAATAGTTTCTTGTGAAAGAATGCCTTTACAATGGTTGTTACCATGGAAACATAAGGACAGATGCTCGTGCTTAAATCTATGGTGGATGATTTTATATACATTTGTTTTTTTGCAAAAATGAGGAACCTGTGATTGATTCCAGTTTGTGTTTTTGTTAGTATGGTTCTTTTATGTACATTATTCTTTGTATAATTTGAAAGTATCCATGGAATTCTTTCTTAGACAAGCTGGTCAACACCATCAAATGGCTCCCAGTTTTGAATTATAATCAAAGCAAGCATAGGCTCAAACCATCTCATGAGTTTTATGCCACACTATTTCGGGCATAGGACTCTTCAAGAGCCCAGCTAATCTCAAGGAACATGCAGGCCCTCCATCCTGCATGCAGCGATGAACTAATTAGGCAGTTTCAATTCATTATTTTAATATGCTCGGTTGTCTTGTCATGACTGGAATCTGCTAATTAGATCCTCATCTTTTATGTTTTGATATATCTGTATACAGTTGTTTTGGTAACTATTTCATGGTTGTGGATTGGGCTATATTTTGTTGCTCCTGTCCTGGATTAAGTTTATGTTCTGAATGTTTCTTCTTCCCTATAAATCTGATAGCATTGGATATATCATTTTCTTTCAGGGCAATTATTAGGATGCTTTATAGGGAAGTGTTCTGGAAGTATTAGATCCATGGCTAGGCATCCAGAGCTCCCTGTGATAGCATCATGTGGTGAGTATATTGAAAATTTTCTTTGTTTTATCCTTCTTACAGACAATTTGACTCGGTGCTCTGTGCCTTTAGATGTGCAGCTTCCTTTTTTTGGTGCCAAAATTTTTCTCCACTTAAATCATTTTCTTTTCTTAGGTTTGGATAGCTATTTGAGGTTGTGGGATATAAAGACTCGTCAACTTCTTTCTGCGGTATTTTCTCGGGCTTAAAATTCTATCAAGTTTTATCTAATTTACCTGCTTTACACTTCTTTATTGTTTTTTACTCTTTTCCTTTCAGAATGATATTATATTAAACTTAATGTCTGGTTTGGATTTCTTTTTATCCCAGTTAGTTCCTTCGTAATGGTAAAACTATTTGAGTTAGAAATATTCCAATTTATTTAGGATAAGAACATCACGTATGGCTTAATTTGTTATGGGTACTTGATTTATATGACTTGCTTTTACTTGACAATTTTTATATATTCCAATCATTTAATCAAACCATGTTAATATGATGCAGGTTTTCCTGAAGCAGCACCTCGCAAATGTTGTTTTTGATTCCAATTTTGTTGACAAAGGTTGGTGTTCCCTTTCTTCGCACGGGCTTGGATAGTAGAGTTATATCTTGAATATTACTAATCTGGACTTCCGTAAAACTTGGGTGATTGTGCGTAAACAAGTCTAGATGGACTGTTTACCCAATTGCATAACCATGATAATGAATAAATTATGGATGAGTGCAAAACTTCAAAGAAAAGAGCTATATTGCATGTTTGATTTGCTTCAATTTAATGATTTCCGATGATTGGTGTTGCTCAATGAAGGGAATATTTTGCCAAAGCTTTCTTGAGAATGTCATTAAGATTGCCCTTAAGATTGAAATTTTATTGAATATTTTGCCAAAGCTTTCTTGAGAATGCCATTAAGATTGAAATTTTATATATCATTAGAAAAGTTAGTCAAAGAAAAATATTTTACAGTCAAATTTGAAAAGTTAGTCAAAGAAAAATATTTTACAATAAAAAAAAATTTAATTTTTTTTCCAAAAAAGTATTGTTCTTTTATTTGACACTCAATCTTTTAATTGATATATATTTTTATTTATTTATTTATTCACTTTTATCCTTTAGAATTTGATTTTTATATTAAATTTAGTTCTTATTCTTTTGATTGTTATTTTTTTTTTATCATTGTTATAATTGAATTTTTTTATTTATCAGATTTGGTCGCTATTTTTTTATTTATATTTATTTTAATTGAAGTAATTTATGAAATTGATTTTTTTTTATCCTCTTTTAATTTTTTGATCTATTAAATTTTGTTATGATTTTTTTTATTACTACTTATTTATTTGAAATAATTTATGTATGAGAATGAGATTTTTTTTTTTACTTTCATCTTCGTTCAACTTTATTTATTTATTAAATTTGGTTGAAATAGTGGCTTATCTTTAAATTACTATTTGTTTGAAATAATTTATGAAATTATATTTTTTTTTAATCTCATCATTCTTTTATTTTTTTATCTGTCATATTTGATCTTTATTTTTTAATTAGTATTTGTTTTATTTGAATTAATTTATGAATGTATAATATTTTTTCAATTTCATCCTTTAATATTTTTTAGGTATCAAATTTGATTCATAGTTTTTCATTGCTATTTATTTTATTCAAAATAATTTATAAAATTGAGAAGTTTTTTCAATTCCACCCTTCTATTTTTTTTATTTGTCAGTTTTAGGAAACTTGAAAAAATAAATAAATATTAATAAGTTATTTTTCAGTTTATTTTTTATAACATAACCAATAAAAATATTTTTCAATTTATTTTTCTTGATAGTGTGAAACATTAAAAAATAATAATTTATTTTCAGGAATTTATTTTTCATGGAATTCACATACAATTCCCTTTAAAAATTCTGGCAAACAAATAGCGTCTTGGTCTCAACATGAGCTTTGTCTATCTGATAGCTCTGTGATGCATTTTCTTCACTGCTAACCGTAAGTGATACTTATTCTATCAGTGACCAATGATTTCTCTCAACAATGATTATTATTGCCCTTATTGTGCTAGCAGAAATTGCGGCTACAACACAGAATGTGGACGGGATCCAAACTACTGAGATACAAACTGAAGTTGAGATTGGAACATTGCCTGTGAAAAGAAAGAAAGCATCCAAAGAAAAAAGGGAGAAAAAGAAGAAAAATGAAGAACATGAAGATAGCACGGTGACGAAATCCAAGAAAAAAGGCCGGAAGCACAAAAGGGAGAATTGCGATGACGCCTGAGATTAGCTCGGTAAAGAGATGGGATTACGCGTTGCCATTTAGAAGACAGCAGCATCATATGGCCGCTGCTGCCTGGCATCTTGCGAGTTCACCAAGTAGAGACGTTATTGTAATGAGATCATCTCTGAGACTGAGGCAAAACAAGGCCGCCATAGTTCTTTGCAAAAGACCTTTGTTTTACAAGGAATTCTCAATGCGACGCAAAACGAAGCTCTTTATTCGCCTTGTAGAGAATTCATTATGATTAATCAATTTTGCCCCGTGATTTTACTTCGTAATGCTGCAGTTTTATACTTTTTTAAATTTTAATTTTTTTATTTCCAATTATTTTTTTTACAAATTCAGATTATTTTGATTTATTGAGAAGACATCGAAACAATTTTAACGTGTCTCGAGCAACCCAGAGTGCTTCATCAGCGGGAATCGATCATGGCCAACAAAAACAATTACGGGTTCAGGGATTAGCCACTATTTCCACGGTACATGAACGATGAAACAAAATAGGGGCAAGGGAGGAGGCCTGACAGGTCTAGAAAATATTGCTCCGCTCGAGCTATCCCTGGTTCAAAATCTCTCGAAATGATTTGCTGGAACTACAAAAGCTAACTGATGGTTTCGAACGTGTAAATGATTTATGAACCATAATTTTATTATCCCTCCTGACTAGTGCATCATAGACAAAAAGGTCAAATCTGCACCATGGCTTGTGGGGTGAAAACCAAGATAAACAAGCTGCTGCATGGTTATACATGTGATAACAAAGTTGATCCAGGGGATTCGAAACATGAAATCACAACAAATTTCTTCAGAAATGATGATAAAATTAACTGGAAACAGGGCAGCAAAAGCAGTTGCATCAAGTTACTGGGATCTGGTTTCCTCCTTTTTCTCCGATGGCAAGTACCTACAAGAAAAAAATAAAGAAACAAATAGCGTTATACCTCGGAACATCTACATGTACCAGCTAAAGATGGAAAATGAAGATAAGAATAAACGCCTACTGGTGAGAAATCCAGTTCATACAATATAGCACTATAAAAGTGTTAAGCATAGGACATATTTCGAGAGGTATATCAATTCAGTACAGAGAAATGAAAGTATCATCAAGTCTGAATTTAAACCATCCCTTCTTTGTCCCGTGAGGCTCCTCTCCTCCAACACAAGGTTGAGGTTGACTTGGCAGATCAAACTACCATTGGTAGTAGAATATGAAAGTCAATAGTATTGCATCATCTGGTCTCAGTTTAAGAAAATCTTTTATTTAAATAGAAAATCTGTCAATATCTTGAAAGGGTCATTGTTTGAACGGTAAATGTCTTTACTTATTAGACAAGGAAACATATTTTGACTCCACTTCTTGAAAAAATGCTATAGCCAAAAAGGAAGAAAAAAAATTACTAAATTTTCCCCTCAAGGGCCCTGCTCCTGCCAGACCATAAATGAGGGAATCGTTGTATTCGTTTTTTCTAATATGACTCCTGACTCTACACAATACTAGAACATGGGAAGATACATTGCTATTAAGAACAGATTAATGCAGTAGAAATCACAATCAAAGTTACTCACCCCTGGCCCTTTGCCCAACGGGACAATTGATAGAGCTGCACGGTCTCATTTGAAGCATGGCATGCTAGAAGTAGATAGTTTCGAGGCTGTACCATCCACGCAAACCTCATAAGCAATGCCGAGCAAACACACATAGCTGAAGCACCATTAACAAATATTAGAACCTCAAACATCCCCACTACAAGTCATAGAAATTCAACACCAGAATTCCTTTACCTCCTGTCATATTTCCTGAAATCTTTTCCGGGGGGTTTTTCATATCCACCAACCCCTGTTCAATAGATCAGATGCTATCATTATAATTTACAAAGCATTAAAATCTTGTATGAGCATAAAACTTATATAAAAGGGATATCTGTATAATCAAAACTGGAAAAAAAAAAAATAGTAAGCATACAGCAGCAACAAATCCCCAGTTGGCAACAGGTCCCCAAAAGTGAGTTGTCTTCGGACCAACGGGACTGTTCAAGAATGTTCTGAAGTAAGCAGCCATTGAAAACAACTGCTTCCCCTCAAAAACCTGTGCAATACTTGCAGATCAGCCAAAAAAAAAAACAGATAATCCAACACAACAAATGCGGAGTAAAAGATAACTACACGGAGAACATCATATTATCAAACCCTATTTGGCCGCACAATCAAACTGAAAAAAAATAATCAAAACTATACTGCCCTAGATAAAGTTACAAAGGGCACCAAAATGTTGTCCCTAAAATTATACAAATATTTTCTTACGAAAAAAAAAATCCACTTTAACACAACCTTCACATCAAATGTACGTGATAAAATCAGGATCTGTTGTAATATCAAGGTTAAAATAGAACTTTGGCATAAATCATGCAAAAATCCAATGATTAAGAAACATCATAAGAAGACATAAATGGAGTAATCGGCAGAGCTAAAGGTGATTAATCAGTAGTTAATAAATCCGTACGTGCATTTTAAATTAAAAGAGTGAGCATAAGAAAGCGTACCAGAAAGAAGCTGAAGATGATTGGAGAAGCAAAATGAGAGAGAGAGAGAGAGAGAGAGAGACGTTGAATAGTAATTTTAATTTAAGGGTGTTTAGCGGTTGCTTAATTGTTTTTCAAATATTTTTTACTTATAAATATTTTTAAATAATATTATTTATTTATTTTTTAAAAAATATTTTCAACATTAATATATTAAAATAATCTATAATATTATTTATTTATTTTTAAAAAAATACTTTCAACATTAATATATTAAAATAATCTTCAAATATTAAAAAAATTAACTTTCTTAAAAACATTAAAAATTTAAAAAATATAATTTCAAATGTCGTTATTCATTGCAGCTGACGTGTTTTTTTTTTTTGAAAATCATGTTATTTTGACTTTGAAAAGTCAATAAGAAACAGAGGAAGTCCGCTTTATTTTGAGTAAATTATATTTAGTCCATTTCTTATACGATTTTGTACGTCAGTCCATTTAGTTTTGAAAATCATAAATCAAGTCTTTGAATGACGTCCTTTATTTAACATAATAATGGATCAATTAAGGTTTATTTATAAGATTAATTCTTGATATTTTTGTTTCTCAAGCTCTTATTTTCAATTTTTTTTCTCTTTTTTGGGAGTGATAATATTTTTTTATATAATTCTTGCCATTGTATATATTTAGCAAACTTATCTGGAAAAAAAACCATGTATTGCTAGCTTAGAGTTCACTTTTAATTTAATTTTTTTTTGAAGTGATCAAATTTTCTTTCCTTTTCTTTAAAAAAAAAGAAATTTAGATTTTATTTGTAGTGGGTGCTATTAGAAAAACTGACAAGACAAGAAAAGAGAGGATATTTTAGGATAAAAACTAATTAAATGGACATGAAAAACTAAAAGGAGGACTAAGTTACAGACAAATATCAGAATATAGGTGAAAGTGGAGCTTGGTTTTCATGAAAATTTAGTATGTACAAAATGGTAAGACAACTATTTGGTGTACATGTGGAAACAAGTAAAAAGTACAAAGCTATTACAATGGCATACAACAACATCAGTCTACTTGTTGAGTAGCTCAAAAAATGGGTGTTCGGTGCTTGCACATACATTCAGGAACTGGATATGCAATCACATCTCGGTCTCTCTTGTTAGTCCTTGGCTCAGGTTGGCCCTGAGATTTCTTGTGCAGCGTCCTGATGATGCTTCCGAATTCGAAGGTGGAGTTTTCGAATACAGGAAGCATGGCTCGCTTGTTAGGCCTTATGTGTTTCTTATGACCAGCATAAGCACGGTGACCCTGTGAAGTTGAATACAGAAAAACAGATGTTAACTACCCTCAAGTCTGCTTTAGGTGGCTAAAAACATAGCAGACAAATGATGTCAGCCGGGTTAAGTAAAATTCATTTTGGTATTTCTTTATGGAATTATTTGCATCAAGTTTTGCAGCCGCTTACCTGCATGACTCGACCGAAGTTTCCTCCATGGGAAGGTATAAAGACGTTGCTGCTTAATGAGACGATGTAGTCTATAGCAGCCAGAGCTGAGGCCTTCTTGATAAATGGTGACAGTTCACCTCCTCTTGCCAATATCTCCTTTGTTATTACGTTTGGGAATTCTGAAATCAGTGGTTGGAGAGCCAGGCTGCCACCAAATGGCTCTCCTCCAGCAACGTATATTCGAGCAGTGCTTGGTGCTCCTAAAGCCTTTAAAAACCTGCAGTAACTCATCTGTCTCCGATTATAGTCTGAAAACGAAGTTCCATTTAGACTTCAAACTTATGTTGGCAATTTTTACCTTGCAATTTCTAGTGCACTAAGGGGACATAGGCCAGCAAGTCTTCGCCGGATATGGTTCATGTTCAACCTTCCTGTAAGGTATTCAGGTTGAGACTCCCGTGATTTGGCGATGATTTTGTCATATTCTGGGCCTAAACTGCTGAGACATCCACTTCTGACCCAGATATCCTTCTCTAACCTGAGATGGAGGGCAATATATGGACCTTCTATCCACATTCTCTTTGCAAGCCTGTTCCCGAGATCCTGTATTGGTGCTGCAAATCTCAATGCATGGAATGCTACCTGCAATTCACAAGGCATTTCCCTTAAAGAAAATTATGGCAGTTTCAGTGGTACTTATGGTTCAGAATTTTCTACCTGATGGGAATTCAATGGTGTGACCATTACCTTGCATCGCAGCTTCTGCAGATCGTGGGGGAGATTCTTGGAAAGTTTGGAGTCTAATGCTTTTAGTATAAGAAGGCCTTCTTCATTCAGCTACAGAAACCATTAAAAAAGCATGAGAAAAGAAAATTCTCTCTCTACTGAGAGTCTGAAGAAGTGTTTGTAAACAACCTCAAAGGTATATTACAGATTGTAATTCTGCTATCTTAACAATTTCAGTTGTAGATATATATTCATTCTAAACTAGAAAATGCACAAAATCTTGGCATCTATTCCAGCATAAGCTTCTGATTCAACCTCTTAAACCTATAGCTGTTTCAAATTTGAAACTAAGCTGTCAAGATTTAGTACAGTAACGAAAGGCTAGGCAATTTTCTTTTTTTGTTAACAAAAAGAATAGCACACCATGAGCTATACATACTCTGCCCTTACCAGTCTGGAGAACCTGGCACGAATCCAATACGGTGAAACATCATAAGGAATTTGGTTTTCAATGGACTGCCTTGACATCAAATGTGTGGAGGGAAGGGACGATACAATTCGTACATCAGCTCGTAAAACTCTCTTGAAATGCTCAACATTGAAAATCTCCGAGAATTCACTGAAATTTTGGAAAACAGACAGAATCATAGGACAACCCGTACATTTTAGATTCATCAGAGTTCAAAACTGCGTGATCAAGTATTAGAGAAACTAATGCCCAATATTAACAGTTGCAGATACATCATTATCACTGAAATACATTCTCGAGGATATAAAGAATCTTTTGAAGAGAAGAAAACACAACCCTGATGCTTGGTATTTGAGAGAAATCCATAAACAAGAATGCTTAAGTGAAAAAATCAAGAAATGACAGTCACATAATGGAAAGAGAGAGCAAATAATCCTCGATTTAACATTAAAATCAGCAATGTCCCAAGGAAATATACAACACAGAGAAATCCTGAACATTCTGCAAGTTACCTCTCATCGCCCCAAATTGGATTAACCTGCAAAACAGGAACAACCAAAGCTGCTTCAAGAATTCTTGCAATGACAACAGCATCAACAATCTGATTCCTCTGCTGGTTCAATCCCCCGGAAGCTACCACCACCAAGAACCTCCTTCTCTCCTTTGAAATTCTCGCAGATGCCTTGCGATACTTGAGACTAAAATCCAAGCATGGCTTGTACCCTTCTCCATCCGGTTGCTCCCAAAACTCTTTCTCCTCTTTTGACACATAGCCAGTAACTGGCTGCAGTGGTAATGGCGCCATTAAACTCTTTGCCATTCTTGGCTCATCCTCCACATTCTTGGGAACAACAGAAGAAAGGGAGGTCAAAAGCATTGACGAAATGGACATAGAAGGAAATGAAAGAGAAGATGGAGAGTTTAGAGAGCATGGAAGTGAATCTTGAGAACTGGATGTGAAGCCAAGAATGGAAAATCCAAAGAGAGTCAAGGAAACAAGAAGTGAAATTAAGCATAGAGTTGGTGGTGTTAAGAGTTTGTTGTAGTTTCTTGGGCTTTTCTTGGGAGACAAAAGATGAGAAGTGAATGGAGAGGCAGGGAGTAAGTGATAAACTGGTGACGGGGTCAGTGTAAAGATTGGGTTCTTGATGTTTCTTGATTTCGCCATTGAAGCTCTGCTTGTGCTAATTTCTTGGCAACTTGGAATTTTTTGCGCCTTGTTTGATTTGGGTGACTTCTTGTGATTCTCGAATCAGTTACAGGAGTGGGAGAACTGTGGTTAAAAGACGAAGACGCCTCCTATTTATTGCGGGATTGAGAAGACTATAAAAGGGGTCTTTTCGTCATTCTGTTAGAGGGTAGTTAGATTCTGTTAATTTTCGCGGGCAGAGAAGGCCTACAGTAGTCAATAAACAGAAACGAAGTCGGGAAACTACAGTGCCATTTTCACCTTTTCATCTTCTCCCGGTGGACTAGTATAATGATTTTTTTTATAAATTTTTAATTTGATTCTTGAATAGTTTTTTAAACAATTGAGTCCTTTTAAATTTAAATTAGTATCCAATTATATATTTTTTGGAATGAAGGGTTGAGTTGAAAAAATGAGAACTAAGATGCAAAGGGAAAGTAAAACAAATGTCCTTCTAATTTTTTTTTGAAAAGTTTGTTTTGCTCCCTATTTATTGTAGCTATTGTATAATTAGTTCCTTTAGTTTTTTAAAATTCAATTTTAATATTAAACTTTACACCTCTTGTTTTTTACTTATTTAACTGTGAGAGTAGAAAGAGGCTCGCTGAATTTCAATATAAAAATAATACATTGTTATTAATGATTCCAGTAATAAAAATAAATAATTTTTATATTAATAAGTTTCAATTTTTGAAAGAAGTTTGACCTAGGTTATTTTTCTTTTCTTACTCGAGAAGGTGGATCTAGGGAATAATTTTGGTTTTAGGTTGATTTTGGTATTATAATCTGTTTTTTAGGAGTTTTGATAGGTTTATCAGAGTGTGTTTTTTGGGTATTTTAATTAAAAATAAATTTTTAATTGAAGAAAATTGAATCTCTAATTTTTTAATGATTTTTAATTATTAAAATCTATATAAAAAAAATACAAATAACATATTGTCTATCATCTCAGAAGATATATTGTTTAGCTCTTACCCGAAAAAACAAGGTCAAGCATGTGGGTTGGGTCAGAAAACCCACACGTCTTGGTTGTCTTTTTAATAGGTACGTCGACATAGCTGGGCTCCTTTTGTTTATTTTTTAATGTTTTACTGTTTTGCATTTGGTTTAAAAAATGATAAAATAAATAATCAAACCCTCAATTAAATTCATTAGTTAAATTTATGTATAATATTCAGACTATAATTTATTTATTTTATTTTTTCAATGTTTTTTTCTCCCTCGATTAACAAACTTTAAATCCTCCAAGTATGTATACAATTATTGACGAGTTTGG